CCACTTTCCATTGGCCTTTTTCACCATCACCACATTTGATAACCATTCAGAAAAAGTAATCTCTTGAATGAATCTTGCCTCTTTAAGCTTTGCTACCTTTTCTTCAATAGCTACAGTCCTTTCAGCTTCGAAGTGTCGCACTTTTTGTCTAACAGGAACAGCATCTGGGTTAACTCCAAGCCTATGGCATGCAACCTTTGGATTGATACCTGGCATGTCTGTTGGACACCATGCAAAAATGTCTTTATGCTCCCTTAAGCAATTTTCCAATTGCACCATAAAGCTTGGATCCATGTCTACACCAATGTTGACTATATGCTCGGGCCTCTTCTCATCAAGAACCACATGTTTTACTTGGTCAATTGGCTCAGTTCGACATTCCTTCAATTCCTCCCTCATGTCTAGGCTGTTTACTATCAGAGTTTTTTCCCTGACAATATCTCCAAGAGCCACCAGATCCCAATGTTTTGACTTGTACTTTTTCTTAGTCACTTTGTTAGGTTTTGATGTTTGCACTTGGTCTTGAGCTTGTGGTGTTCGCTCCACTACTTCAACAGGCTTCCGTCTTGCCATTCCAACTCCATTTGGCGTAGGGAACTTTATCATCATTACTTGTGTAGAGACCATCGCTTCTAAGGAGTTAAGCCTAGGACGTCCCAAAATTGCATTAAAAGAGGAAGGGACATCAATAACAAATAAATCTAAGGTAACAACAGCCACACAAGGGGAAACACCAATATGAATAGGGAGAGAGATAATACCTCTTATGGGCATGGATTTTCTAAAAAGGCCTACCAACGGAAAATCACAAGGTCTCATTAGTTGTGGAGATACTCCTAGCTTTTTGAATGCTCCATAACACATCACATCTCTGCAACTCCTTGTGTCCACCAAGACACGCTTCATCACCTTGCCCTTTTGTAGATTTCTATCTTCCACCACTATTTCAATCATTAGTGGATCATGTAGGAACACCTCCCTTTGATCCAAATCCTTCCCAGTGAAAGTGATGGTTTGAGTTGAAGGTTGGCTTTCATTGCTTCCTTTGATTGCTAAAGCCATAGATATTGGAGTTGCTGAAGGCAGGACTGTTATAACATTAATTACCCCCATGACATCTAGAGGTTCCTTCTCTTTATGTCTACCAGCTTCCCTACTGTCTTGTGACCTTTCCATTCTCCTTGCTCCCCTCTAGCTTCCTTGATGCCCGACAAATTGCCTCAATGCTCCCCTACGAATTAATCGTTCAATTTCCATTGTAAGCTGCTTACAATCCTCTATATCATGACCATGGGTCCCATTAAATGCACAATGACGAGTCTTATCACGCTTGTTACCATTACTACGAAGCTTTTCAGGCTAATTGAGGTGTTCTGTCTTCTTTGCCACTGCAAGTATATGCGCCATTGAGGTGTTTAAAGGTGTGAATGTGGTATAGACCCTTGGCGCCTTTTGCAATGTAGAGCGATAATTCTTGAGATTTCTACCAACTCCTCGCTTTCCTCTTCTGACATCAGCTATGTCATTTGACCTGTCAAACCTTCGCTTTTTATTTCCTGTTACGACTAAATTAGGTTTGAAAGACTCACCACCTTTCTTGGCTATAACACGTTCTTCAGCTCGAATATAGCCTTCTGACCTGTGAAGTATGTCTTTAAGGCTCTTTGGTTTTTCTTTATTTAGAGAGTGCAAGAAATTACAATCTTTCAAGCCATTCATCAAGGCATGCATTGCCATTCCTTCATCCAGATTATCCACCTGCAGAGATTGATTATGGAAACGAGCAATGTAGGCCCTTAAACTTTCATCAGTCTTCTGCCTAATACTCATTAGATGGTGGTTAGTCTTCTTTGGGACTTTGCTAGCAGTAAAATGCTCAATAAAACATCTTTCTAATTGCTCAAAAGAGTTAATAGATTTAGCTTTCAATTTAAAGTACTAGGTTTGAGTTGCTTTCTTCAGTGTATAAGGGAACACTTTGCACAATAATGCATCAGACACTCCATAAATCATCATTGCTAGCTTGTAACTTCTCACATGCTCTATCGGGTCTTGTTTTCCATCATATTGTGTCAACTGAGGTGGCTTGAATGATGGAGGCATGAGTTCTTTAATTATCTCGTCAGAGAATGGATCACCTATAGAGGCTATTTGTGGAGCATCTGTTGCCTGTTGCTGTGCCATGCGCAACTCTTCCATTTGTTGGCGCAAAGTTTCCATGTCCTTTTGCAGAGTTTCATTTCGCTCCCTAAGGGAGTCCTGCGTGCGACTTAATTGCGCCTTGCGGTTTGTTAGCATTATTTTATCCTCCAAATTGGCCTGTGTAGGTTCATCACCCCTAGAGTGATGCTAGGCTTGGACTTTGCTTGCTGACTCGGGAGTATTTGCACTCGTAGAGCCTCGGGTCCAAGTGTGTGATACATGTGCCAACCTGTGAGGACAAAAGTTCCAATGTGGGATTGAAAAAGCCGAGGTTGGTTCGAGAGTGTTGATATTGTCTGCACTCGTTGACCGTTGTGATGGGACATAGTCAGGATCGTTCTCTTGTGTTTCCACATTTGAACCTTCTCTTTGCACCAGGGGGAACAAAATATCCTGTGATTGGGGGGTGCATCGTTGATTTCCAAACATTTGTGATGGAGAATACCTCCTTGGTGGTACACAAGCCCGATGTGCACGAACCGGCGGCAAATGTAATTGGCCATGGTTTTCTGTTAGAAGCGTTACCGCTTGCTCAATTGCGTGTACACTTCTTTCCATTTGTGCCATATTCTAGGTGAGGTGTTGAATTTGATCCTTTACTATATTCCCATGCCTAGAAGGACCTGATCTCTGGACTTGTCGAGTAGAATTTCATGAAGACGAAGATGGGGTTGTAGTGGACCTTGCACCATAACGAGTCTGTCGATTATTGGCCATTGCTTAATTGTAAGGGTTCATTGTGACCAACAATCGGCCCCACGGTGGACGCCAAATGTTAACATTGAAAAATAATTTAAATGACCCAATCAATTGGAGTCATCAGAATTTCATTAATGGAAGAAGAAATTCAGAGTTTGAGATTCAGTCTCCCCTTTTGCTATTCCCTAAGGTCCTTTTAACCTCTGCTTAGAGATTTTCCTCAAATCCTCATTTAACAAACCTTATCTATAATTTAAATTTAAAATCATAAATAATCTCTAGAAATCACGTGATCTTGATTTTTCTCCAATTTGAAGTTACAGTTACAACAATCTTGAAGAAAAGAAAATGTTATTTGTTAGTATTTTTAGAGTTTTTATTATAGTACTAAATTTAAATTTAGTGATTTGTAACTTGAATTATCTTATATTGTAAAGAACTAACAAAGATAAAAAAAGTCATTATTAATTTAATAATTAATGTTTTACAATTTAATACAATTTAAATGGTAAAATATTTTTTTATTAAAAAAAAAAAACAAAAAAGATAACAATAAAAATGAAAAAGGCAAAGGCTGTGCTTCTACGGTTCTGCCTCTCTACCCATCTACACTATCGTCACTCTCACCTTATGCTTCATTTTTCTTTTATCAAGATATGGAAGTGTGCAACTAGCACTTCCAGAAAATATTATCGGTACTTGCTTTGATTGATTAATACTAGTCTCGAGAATTTGTAAGACCATGTGGGTTGGATAGACATGAACCCATTATGTTAGATATTTTCCACTTTCTTAAGCTAGGAATGGACGAAAATGATTCAATTCAAAATAATTGATGCCTCCATTCCCCACCTTGAACCAACTCTACAATCTAATCATTTGAGTAGATCTTCCCATTTGCAGTATTGCCTTCCTGCTAATGCACGGTAAACTCTATCCCTACAGTAGACTGGTCTTCCATCAGCAGCTTCTGCTAGATCATCATCTTGCTTAACCTCCACTGGCAGTTGAAGCAACTCTTCTTTTCTACAATACATGCAAAAAACATTGTGAAAGTAAATATAAGTGTATTGGTTGTGGAAAATGTGAATTTCCTCTTTGTCTGCAAATGTGCACATACACACCTTATGTTGAACTTTGTGTTTGTTTTTAAAGCCTGGACATTTGTTGAGTTCCCTTCTGTGGCATAGGTATTTCTGAAGAAAGTCTCCACTGGTGTGGCGCAGATAAATAGCAATACTCCTGTTATAAGCAAGGCCCCTGTTCCAACTAGTGTCTGTTTCAGCAACATGATGACTGGTTTAACCTGGAGGCATTGGTTATTGATATTGAACATTTCATATGTTTGAGAAGCAGATGAATCTTAAATTAGATCTCAGAATGTGTCTGTATGTGAGAGAAAAACTGTTTTTGCAGATTCATAGTTATCTTTAAGATGCCGTGTTCCTTCATTCAGTGTTCACATGTAAATGCGTGAGCATCCATCATTATCATTGCAAGTCATTTATTGCTTTTTCATGTAATCTTCTATAGGACGTCAGTTTAAGGTTCTGCATTCTACATGACAAGATGAACTACTTGTTTGCATTTGTTCGTACCTCATATGAGCCCAACAGTCTATCACGAGCCAGGACCTACAAAGGAGAAAACATTGAGAGATTTGAATATGATAATGAAGTGCACCATTTAACATTTGGAGAGATTTGACTTTATGTCTTTTAGAAAGTAATGAAGGGGAATTTAATTTATATTGTCCTCAATATTGTCCATCTATTTTGGTAAGCAGCTATAGTTGGCTATCTTGGAACTTTAAAATCTTTATATAATTAACTTTTCTGGCTAGCATTCTTTTACAATGGCTCTCACTTCTAATACTTTGTCTATGATCCCCATTTCAGATTAGAAAATTAAACAATGTAATGCTCTGTCTAGGATTTGTTCGATGCCCTCAGTTTCTGGCCTAATTGCAGCAAAGTTGTAAATAAGCTCAGCTAAAGCAGGTATTACCTCTCAGTAGTTCTAATTGTAGCAAAGTTGTAAATGGTAGTTCAGGAGATATCATAGTCCTTGACAATTTCTGCTAAAAGTTTGGATGCTGTGAAAGTCTTGTGAATTAATAATTTAATTTCAGTAGGGCAAAATAAAAGTTTGAAGATTGTGTGGATAGTTAAACACTATCAATCAAGGGTTTCTGTGATTCTGAGAAAATTCAATTCCTGCACTCTAAACCGCTTTATGCTGGAAACTTGAATATGATATACATTATATGGGTCACCAGAGAATGAACTTCTGCAAATAGACTAAACTAAATTCAATGTTCTTTCTTTTACTTGTTCATCCTTATTAAAGTCCCTTTCTTAAGTGCACAATAGTGAACAACTGAAAATCTAACTTTGTTTTAATTAAAGATGGCACTGATAAAAAGAGTTTACAATGTGTAATTGTGAATACTCGTTCTTCTGTTTTCATACTGGTTTAGAATAAAGGGAAACACAATATGCACTAACCTCAGGTGGCTTTACCCACATCTGACCATCATACCATCCACTTTCTTCATATGGTACCACAGCTGATAGAAGTCTGTCACCAACATAACTCCAACCCTGGAATATGAAAAGTAAATAAGTTATTTATTCCCATGAAACTGACATGGAAAACTGTTTGAGTTTATGGTCATTTGAATATGTTAAAGTAGTGAAGCGAACAGTTCTTGATGCTTTGTGAACTCCTTTTGAAAATTTAGAACACTCCTGAGTCCTGAGTATGGTCCAAGCTTGAACTTAGGTTTGGCTACCATGTCTCTATCAAGAAAACACTCAAAGACCCATGTCTGTGCACCATTTGCATTTTATTCTGAAAGCCAAACTATATAACAAGCTATAGTTATGTTGAATCTATCAATAGAATATCTTGGATTTGATGTATGTTAGCAATCACATTAGCTTTAATAGAAAACGAAATCTGTTGCCATTGCTGTGTCTATATATTGGAAATCAATTAATAATATCTTGTCTGGTATTTTGATTACTAGCTGAACAACGTAATTAGAATAGTTGTATAACTTCCTTCTTACAGTCATTCCAGTATTGATTTCAGGTTCGGAGCAGATTAAAGAATCTAACATGCATTTCTTTTGACACAGACAGCTTGGCTGATGTGATTATAGTATCGATCAGAATGATGTTGTCTCTGGTAATAGTCCAAAATACAGCTATACACTCCAACATTAAGTATTTTCAATAATAAAAAGTTAGTCTTACTAGATAAATTCTTAAAAGGATCAATGATACGAGGAAGAGAGTTCCTGTTCCAGCAGCTAGTACAAATCTTAAAGGTTCCTGCAAGACGGGAACAAATCACAAATGTACATAGAATTGTAGTTGTTTTAGAAGATGATGATACAAACACTTGTAAGCTTATAATTAAACCTGTTGTGTACTACAGAATATTGATATTTCAGACTTACTCTTGTAGGATCAAAGCTTGCAGCAGCTATTTGAACTCCAAGAATAGTGAAAGTTACTAACCATAACCCTCCCACGCGAAGGAAAAAGGGCCCTGGTTCCAGTTCGCCCCATGAGTACAGAACTCCATTTTTCAGAGATGAGTACTCATTCACCTGTGATCAGATGAATTAGTGTTTGGATGAAAAAATGCGTTAATTCTGGTTCAGACTACTGCATACATGACATGTATACTCCATGTAAAGATCTACTTATGCCTACTAAAAGAAAGAATAAGTCATCACAATAACATCATTATAGTTTTGGCACGAATTAATAGACATACCGGTCTTTGTTCAAATGGGACCTCAATTTCCAATCCAGGCCCCCAACTCCGGCCTGGTGAGCTGCTCCTACCTCCATCCGTCTCTTCTCTCAAAGCCTTGACGAAAAGCCGCCTAGATGGCTTCTGTGCTCTATGATCCTGGACTAAGCATGAACCTTAGCTGCAACTGAGCTTGACATGCCCTGCGCTAGGAATAAGAGAGCAATGGAAATTCAGTTTGAGCATTTATATTTCGTTGGTCAAATGTGTGGGAGAAATAGGGGGTTAGAAAAAAGATCATTAAATCATTAGTTTCAAGGCGTGCTGCAAATGCCACTTTGTTTTAGGTTAATTTTGTCTTTATTAGATCTAGTATGCAAAAGGAGTAACCCAAAATACCCATAGAATACAATGAAGCGCCTTGTTGATCTAGCCTTTGCACTAACAAAATCAACCACTGAACCATCCTTTGGAAAGCAACAAAACAATAGCTTTTGTATAGGGATTTCTCGAGCAATCGCAATACAAAATGAGGCTATTTTATTTAAATATTTTTGGGTTTAAAAAGACTCCTCACAAAAAGAACAGAGAACTCCATATTTATAGGGCAAGATATCTGTTAGAACAAACACTTCTTTTCAAGATATTTGTTGGAAACAGACATTTCCTTTCAATTTTTATCCGTTAAAAAACTTTTTCAACAAAAGTCATTTAATTTGATTTGAATTCCAATTCACGTGTCTCTATGTCTTGTAAAGTTATTCACTCTTTTTAGAAACTTATGAGAATTCTATCTTTGATTTCTGATGTAAATGGTTCGAATTACATTTATATGTTTCGAACCAAAATCGTAACTTTTCGAATTCTGGTTTTATGTAAATGGTTCGAACTATGATTATATGATTCGAATTAAAGTTATAGTTTCTCAAATATATTCTGTGCAATTGTTTTGAATTAACTTTTTGTGATTTGAACTCAAATCTCGAAATTATTTTGAAAATTCTTCAACAAAATGTACTGGATATGGTGGTAGACTGATCTGTTCAAATTTTTGTTCAATAGTTAAAGAGGAAGAAGAACAAAATTGTTAGGCTCGCTTATTAAAAGGCAAGGTTAAGATTTTTTTTTACTTGGCTAGAAGGATTATTAAGATTTATGGGGGACCATTAACCATACATGATTCCAACCTTCGGTGGAGCAAAAACAATATATGGCAACATGGGGGAGGGAGTTGGAGGCCAAGCTTGGGTAACGTGGCTGCTGTTGCCTTACATGCTACTTCCGTATGTGTAGATTATGCTTCCACGGGGAAAAGGTATACTAACCAATTAATAGTGGTCCCTTCTTTACTCATCCGGATTCACAGGAAATGATGTGTCAAATTGTGGTAACATCGCTTTCTATAATTTTTTTCCTTTTTTTAAATTTTTTTTATATATAGGTTAGTTAATGCTTCGAGTAAGGATGGTAATTTTTTTTGGGATCCGCAAAGCTTGTAAAGATTTTCATTGTAGGAATGGAGATTTTAAGATATTTTTGGTTGTAAAGTGAGGATGGAGGCATTTTTTTCTCGTGAGATTTCATAAGGAATTTACTCCACTCCATGGAGGTCCATAGAGATTCATATGTAATAAAAAAATATCAATTTATATATATATATATAAATATATTAATAATTAATTTTTACTCACTCAACCTAATTTCTTAACCTAACATGACCTAAATTGCACAACTTAATTCTTTTTCCAATTTTAGTTTTCTCAAACCCAATTCAATAATCCAACATAACCTGGATATGTATGGCAGGTCATACATTATTTGTTTTTATAAACTTGTTTCTGAACTTGTTAAACGTGTATGGCAGTGTGTATTTATTATAATTGATTACTAGATATTATTATGTTGCACTATATATTAGTGTGTTTACTTGTTTGAGTTGTTTTAAATTTTTCCTTTTTTTATTTATCAAGAAAAAAAATAAGACTAAATTTTATATATTTAATACTTAATGAAGACTCCGAATACTCGTGAGAACCTATCATTTCTTGTGGACATGGATATAGAGGCCATTTTTGGCTCTTGCCAAAAATCTCTGAGGATCCCCTTACCCATCATTGGTGGGAATAGGGATGGGAAGGGGGTTTTTGCTCCCATGGGGATCCATTGCCATCACTAAGATGGTGACGGCTCGGGTGAGCATTGACTATGAATATACTTGTTACTTGAAAGTATTTTATCTATTGGAGTAAGTAGGTTACCCAAATTGTAGTATGAAAATAGTATATCTACAAGTATCAAATCAATTAACAAGTATAAGAGTTTAAAACTATTTACCTGATCTGTTTAATCATTTTATTTAACTGATATGTTATCTGTACTTATATAATTGAAATTTTATGTATACTTATTATATTAAATATCTATATATAAACAATAATTTTTTTTAAAAAAAAAATCATACACGTAACTTATAAATAACAAATCTTAAACTAAACACATATCACACATGAAGTTAACAACTTTTTCTCTTCCTTGCACTCTAAGGCAACAGTAGGTATTTATAACTTCAAATTTTAATTCTTTTTAGTTTTGTTTTTTTACTTTTTTATTAGTGATTTTCAAGTTGCAATTTTTGTTCATTGTATAGATGATTTTTTAATTTCAAACTTTAAATTTAATATGATAAAAGCTGTAAGTCAAAATTATGAATATCAAAATATTAAAATAGATACAATACTATCAATTACTATCTCTTTCGAACAAACTGAAGCAGAGAATTAGGAAGATTATGAGTCTAAAAACCTAGACATCTTTTTTTAAGAGTTTGTATTTTGTTATTTAATTTATTTTCATTCTTTATTTTTTTACATATTTTTTTGTTTTTTATTATTAATTATTTAATTGAGTTTAGTTTTTTTAATAGTAAATAGATTTAAGTTCTTAATATTTAATACTTAGTGGAACTCTGAATATCTATGGAGACCAATCATTCCCCGTAAATATGGGATGTAGGTCATTTTTAGCCATGTGAAAAATTCTCGTGAGGATTTTCATACTCATCATTGACGGGGATGAAGATAGAGAGCGGGTCTTTGCCCTGTGAGGACCATTGCTATCCCTAACTTCCAATTAATTTTTATTAACTTCACATTGATTTAATACATTTAAGAAAATTAATTTTTTTACTTATTGGTTTCAAAACTTAAATATTAAATCTCATCTACAAAAGAGACCTGGCTTACAATCAGTGGATTCAACCGTGGGCTTCAAACTTGGTATGATGTTTGTATGGAAGACCTCTATTTTCACAACGGTGGAGGACCCAGTATTTACCTTTGTATGAAATAAGGCAAATAAAGCTCTTCTTTCTCCTGTTTCTCCTGCATTCTTCCTTTGCTTTACTGAGAACTCGATTGATTTTGCTTGTTGTAGCGTCACCACTCTTCTGTCGGTCAAAAACATCATACAAGTAAAAAATAGAACACACAATGATTAAAATTTCTCAGAAGACAATTTTCCATAATCAATAAATGCATGTGACTAAGATATCATGTAAGCAACCCAAAGTCAGTAAAGCATCATTTCATTAATTTCAAGCAATCTGCTGCATTCACCAGATAGTAGGTTGATCTGAATTCTATCAAAAAGAATTTCATCTGTGAGCAAACTATACAAGGGATGAGCTAAGAACATATCTTGTTTCCAATCTACATATACCAGTTTATTTATTTATTTTTTTAAAAAAAAATATGGAGTGGGGCAATCAAAATTGTAAAGTGAACGTCATGCACGTCATAATATATTTCCAATCAAAGAATGTTCCATGAACCTCCTACAGAAATATCTCCACCTTAACAGTCCAGCGTCTGGAATCCGGATCCACCAATGAATTACTCCAGTAAAGAAAGTGCACCATGGCATGGTGGATAGCAAGGTTATTGTATAATCAGCTCCCTACCAGTCCTTCATATCCTTCCTGGAGGAGAAATGCCTGTAAATGCAAAGAGGATGAAGCCAAAAGTTACAACTAACCCTTAGATAGTAGTTTGTTAATATAAAGGTATGTTTGGTGCAGCTTTCCAACTGTTTCAGCTTTCCAAAACTACTTCAGCTTTTTGATATTATCCACGTCTCATAAATTTAAATTTTTCTCTTAAAATTTTATATTTTTAAATCCTATTTTACCTTTAAAAAGATCATAAACAGTAAAAGATCATAAATTTAAATTTTTCTCTTAAAAACTTACATTTTTAAATCCTATTTTACCCTTAAAAAGACCTTAAACAGTAAAAAATCAAAAGTTTCAAATTTAAACTTTTTATAAACTTTTTTTTTACTTACTTTTTACTCATTTTTTCTTATCTTTAAAAGTAACTTTTAAATTTTTCTTCTAATAAAAATTTAAACTTATCACTCATAAACAATATTTTAAAAGTAAAAAATTCAATAACTGTACTAAAGAGGCCCTAAATTATATGAGATTCTTTGGATTTCCTCCTTTTTTATATTTTTTTCTCTTTTTTTTCCCCTATTTCTGAGTGCCTCCATCATGACTCAATTGGAAGTAGAACGTGCCACGTGTTCTTTCTATATCACTTTGCTAGCATCAATGGTTGATGATGATATATTCACAGAATCCATCAGTATATATTAATTAGCATCCATGGAGAAAGCAAAGCAGCATGACTTGTGCCAGTTTTGGTGTGGTTGCTTTCCCCACTGCTTCAGTAAACACAAGCAGCCAGCTGCAATGAATAGCCTGAGGACAACAAATGCTATCATTGTTGAATTCTCAATGGTCTGGTAATAACCTCTCTGCAACGTGAAGAAGGTAGCTCATGAGCTCATTAAAATAAACAAGAATTTACGAACCATACTCCAAGATTCTACCGAGGAAAACCATGTATCTGACCATCATCTTCAGCCAAGACTTAAATCAATCATATAACTGGACTGACAAAATTTCCAACCAGAAATTAACAAAGTGCTTTAGTCTTCCCCTTGAAGACTTGTTGACTTTAAGAGGGTTCAGAAGTTTCTGTCAAATCCACACTCCTTTTCTTTCTAGTAGATAGAATTACTTAAAAGGAAAATGAACATCTTTTAAAAAATGTTTCTTCGTCCCACTCCAAGCCTAATGATTTGGGGCTAATGCTAATTTAACTCTGTAGAAGACATACTAAGACAAATAATCTCTCCAACCATTCAGGAAAATAAAGTTGCTGATTTTTCTGTCAATAGATCTCTTTAAAGCAATTGTTAAACCTTAGATTATTACTACCAAACATTTATGTGGCAGTGGTTGGGAACAAACAGAATATACACCAAAATAAATTATGTTGTGCATGCGGCAGTATGTAAATTTAGTCAGAGAGGCACCTGCATCAGAAAAAGCAGAGCCTGCATCTGCAGGAGCTAGAGAAAGGCTTTTCATCCCTCCAGGTAACTCATTTGGCACATACCTAGACAAACACAATTATAAGTAGAATGATTAAAACTAAGATTTGGCAGATAAGAGTTTAATACAACAAGCAACTTTAAAAATCTCGAACAGAACAATCTTTTATGTACATTGTCCTCAAATGTGCAAGTGAAAAAGAATCACGCCCACACAGGAATGGAATAGAGAAAACATTGTCACTAGAACTCTAATTTCCTGCACACCAAACAAATCAAAGTCTGTGTTCAGGGCCATATCAAAAATAGATAACCCCACATAGGAGAAGTATGCATACCTGATGATCATAAGCAATGATAGACAATACCAAACCCAGTATAAGAAATGCAAATACCAGCCAATCCTCAGTTCGAAATGACGCACTAATAAGCCATGGAAAGACAATGCTTCCTAGCATCTTCCCACCCAGCAAACACGGATATATCAACCCTAGATACACTTCTCAGTTTCTCACCCATCAGCCTACAAACCCAGACGGTATAAAGTATTTTACGTGGATACCCTTCAAGTAAAGCTAGCCTCGAAATGCCAGGGAAAAAGGCACAAAGAAAAAGGAGAAAACAAAACAGTTAAGCATTTCTCATAATAAATATATTCTTACCACCAATGTGGGGGCCCAAAGAATCCAAAAAACTACAACTGAAAACCGAAGGCACGCTTGTGCAAATGCTAGTAACAATACCCTTTTATCTGTAGATCATCCATATTTTGCCAGTGAGTATAATGCATTTTCACAGATTACTCATCACACATCAAAAGAAACTTAAACTTTAGCCTTGAGAAAATTGCCAATCTGTCCCACATGATGCATATAGGTATAGAGGTATAACCACAAAGACCTTCAACTAATAATTTGAAGTGTCTTTTGCCATCCAATGTAGCTATTCTATAATTAACTTTTTTCTATTCAAAAATTTATTTATAATATTATATATATTTATTTAATATTACATTATACTCATTTAATATCATGTTATGATTGTAAATATATAATTTTTCATAATATATATATTTGAAGTAAACAACCTCAAATTGTTTAAAGTTAAAATTTTAAATTTTTCTTCATCTTAAATGTCACTTGATTATAAATTAGATACATTGATATCATAATTACCTAATCTATACCTTCGAAATACTTGTTCCATGAGCCACATTATATTTCCATTACTACTTTGGAGATACTACATGAACCAGTGACGGAGCCAGGGGTGCGAGGGGGGTACTTCCCCCCGAAATTTGAACCTCCGAAATTTGAAAATCTTGCAAATTAATATATGAAAAATTATCTAACCTCTCCTAAACTTTAAAAATTTTAGTTTTTTGCCCCCTGAAAAAAATTTCTCCCTCCCCTGACATGAACACTATCTTAAGCCGTATAAATAACCTTGTCCTTCTAAAAGGACTTTTTTTGCCCCTAGAGCCTTTTCTTTACTTATTTTGGATTAAGAATAGACTATTACTAAATTGAATATCAAAATATTTATTTCGAAATTCACCTTCAAGACTTTGCAGATCAATTATATTTTCAGGCTAAGATTAAAAAAGTTAATTTACTTTGTATAATTATAACATTGTAATTATAGCATTACATGCGTTGATATAAAGCCTACAACATTATCAATAATTCCTACGTAAGTATATTCTAAAATTTAGCTCAATTTTCATAAAATTAGTGCTAGCTATCGTTATTATTTTATTTTTTGTAAAAAAATTATTGAGGTAGATTTAAGGTTCGTGATATTTTTATTAAAAAATGAAAAGTTTATAATCTTGACTTTCGCAACACAATAAAAACCAAGGATTTATTGTGTTTGCGACGAAAAACTCCTTTCATTCTTCGTCCCTTTCTCTCGCCTTCACCGAATTAGGGTTTACAGGTCCCTTCTCTCTCGTCAATTAATCAGACATGGGAGGAGGCAACGGTCAAAAAGCCAAAATGGCTCGCGAAAAGAACTTGGAGAAGCAGAAGGCCTCCAAAGGTAAGCTTTCTGGTTGTTTCCAGCGAACACCATGGAATTATTTGTAGAATTTTTGGGCATTGTTGAGAAATTGTTTTCTTCTTCTCAAGAAGATAGAAAATTTTAAGTTCTTTTTCTCGTTCTTCATGGATCTTTCATTAATTGTTACGAAATCTTTCTGCAGGCAGCCAATTGGATTCAAACAAGAAGGCCATGTCGATTCAGGTAATCCTAAGTTTAATTCAATGGTTATTGTTCATCTGTTAATCTAATAATCTTTTGCTTATGGAAATTTATTGTGCTAATTATCTTTAAAACTTGATTTTTTTTTTCCTCATGGAAGGAATCATAGAGATTTATTATGCTATAAGATACAATAGAGTTTTTCTTTCTTTCTTTTCGTTGTTCTGTTTTTTTCCCAATTAGACAGTGCAAGCCACTTGAATTAATACTTCTAGAACTACAATTATATGTTACTCTAGGCTGCTAATATTTGTGGGTTTTCATTTTACGTTGGCTGGTGCATTGGTAGTCAAGAATGGGAATGAAGAGTGAACATTCTGTGAAAAATTAGCTTTCGGGTTTTTGTTATTGTTACTGGTCCTTTTGTTAAAAAACAGGATAGCTTAGGTATTTTATTTACCATTGATCTACAAAAGGCGAATACATGTAATTTTAAGGTTCATTCATGAATATAGGTTCTCTCTTGGTTCAATTATTTCCTCAATTCCTATCACTGACTCTGTTTCTCATTCTTTTCTTCTTCTCATCTTCTCCTCTCATCCTTTCATTCACCTGTAAGTTCAGTTCTTTAGACTGGGCTTGCATCAACTAAGTGGGTGGAAGAGGAGTGGTTCCACAACCCTCTGTTATAAATTTGAGGAGTGCTATTTGTAGTGTTAATCCTATGTTATGCACTCTTGTATTTGAATGATTTCCCGGTCAGAAAATTTGTTTATGAATTGTTCAATGTTAAGTGTCTTGATTATTTGCTGATTCTTGAATTCTGACTTTTTGTACATTTCAAATGGCAGTGTAAGGTATGCATGCAAACATTCATGTGCACAACATCTGAGGTGAAGTGCAAGGAGCATGCTGAGGCAAAACACCCAAAGTCTGATCTATATGCGTGCTTCCCTCATCTTAAAAAGTGATCAAGCTGGGGGAGAAGCGCCATTTAGACTGATGGCAAGTATCAGCTATCATCAGTATGTGAAGCTTCAACTTCTATTATTTTGAAGTTAGGACGGTGTGAGGGTGAGGGAGTAATGAATCTTCGTGTCTTTTTATATTGAGAATTGATTGATTCCTGCATCTCTGTAAAAGGATCCTGAATGGAGGTGATCGCTTTTCAAATTTGGTTATAATGAAAATGTTCCGTCTCTTGTGGTCTTGCAAATTTTATCAGTGACCTTCGCAGCCAAAGTTGGTGATTTCTATACAGGGTAAACATCGCATTGGTAAGATAAACTCAAAATACAAATACGGAACTGTTAACATCATTGCGGGTGTTGGACGCTGCAAATTCTAAATTGTCCAGTGGCAAACATAGCAACAATCTACATAAATGTAGATGAAAATTAAGATTATTAAAGGACTTATAAAAAACTTTAAAACCAGTAACATACAAGAGCTGTATTACATCAACCGCCGGTTGAGAAAAATTGCGGTAAAAACTTGTCCTTGGGTGTTTGAGAAAGGCTTTTGCCCTGCAGCTATGTCAAACGGGTTTTGGTTGGACTTGTTCAAAATCAAAGACCTCAAACATGAGCCGCCGCACCTCTCCTTTGCCGTAGACACTGTACGCAAGGCCGTGGATGGCCTGTTGAGCGGCTGTTGTGGCAGGATTTCTCAGTCTTCGGTTGTGCTCGAATGCATCTTGAACCTGCTCTGAATAGATGATAAAGTCGTGGAGACGTTTCGCCCTCAAATACTTTCCACAGAATTTGTTCATGAGAAGTCGCCGGTGCCTCTCTTGTAGCCATTTTCCAGGAGCATCCAAATGCTTCATCAGCAATCTCTCGGCCATAGCAAGATCCTAAACATATTGAAAACAGAACTTTTAGAGTGATTGTTTTCTCAATGTTACAATAACAAGGCATCACTGGAACCACTTAACCTGGATCTTTTGGCCAACATATTCCAACCGCTCGTAGCAAAACCGAGGATGCTCAAACTTATATTTTGATGGGTGCAAGAAACAAAGCTGTAATCCAAACAATGAAAAAGTACATTAGAAATAATCCAGGTGACGCAAAACATCTTTAACCTTCTTGAAATTCTTGGTAATTTTTCCCTTCTAGCAAATGAATAGCAGACAGTTAAGAAGGAAGCAAAATAAAAACTCCTTCGGCAAACATCTAGAACAAAGGATACA